ATCTCTGAATCCATTCCACTTTAACACTTCAGAGTGATCAACCCGTCGAGAATTAACAACTTAGAAAATACGGACAACAAATCTCTTTGTTAGCAACTCTCTCAASTCTACTTCCCATATCATCCAAGTTGACGTGCAAACATTGGCTCAACTTAGAGTCAAAGGCACTTTAACACTGTCAAAGTGATTAACCCGTCAAGAAGTGTCATTGGTTTTATAAAACTTAAAATGAAAAAAGTAAAACATCATTGTTACATGAAAGGGTCGACTATATTTTGGTTTAAAAACTCACCCTTTTCGTCATACACCCGAGCTAATAAAATTAGCTACTCATGACGAAAAGTAAATGACAAGAAACGTAAAGTGCGGTAAATAAAGACATAATATAAATGAAGAAAGTAAATGACGGAATATAAATAACGGAATAATAAAGATGCGGGAAGCGTAATAAATAAATGACGGAAATAAAATGCAAGTAAGCGTAAAGAAATTAAAGACGGAATATAAATAACGATAATATAAATAAAGCGATTAAATAAAGCAAGTAAATGGAACTTGAAATGCCAAAAGATTTATAATATTAAGACTTGTTCTTCAAGTAGTATGCAAACTACTTGAAGAGAGAACAAAAGATAGAGAGAAAGAAGGAAGGTGGTGAAAGTTGGGTGTTGAGGTATGTCTAAACTCCTCCCAACAACCCCTATTTATACTAAGGATTGTGTGGGGGAAAAATAGTCTTTTCACCCCTTCCTAGTTCAAAAACAACTAAAAAGTACATATTACAAACTACTAATTAGAAAGGAACTAATATAAGTCTTGTTAAACATCAACTAATCAGTTCAAACTACAGCTAAACAAAGCTTTAGAAAGCTTTCAAAGGTCATCCCAAGGTCATGTCAACTTCTCCAAGTCTCTTCCATCTTCCTGTCAGTCATCAGGTCTTGCTACCACATTTCCACAACATCCGCTTGCTCCAATCTGTCCAAAACAAGATCAATTTAGACCAAAATCCACTAAACACAGGTTCAACATTCGCTTCAGCTTAAAAACAGATAAAAGAGATAAAATGACTCAAAGTTGGGATATGAAAGCAAAATAACCTATCTAAAAGAGAATAAAAAGGTACTTTACGTACTAAATACTTAGTACGTATCAAATATCGTCTATAAACATGATCACAGATTTGTCCAACATTGGGCAGCACACGCGATTCATCATATCCATGAACGCTGCAGGTGCATTAGTTAAACCGAATAGCATAACTAAAAATTCAAAGTGGCCATAACATGTACGGAAAGCCATTTTCGATTCATCTTCTTCACGCACTCTCAGTTGATGATAACCCGACCGTAAATCAATTTTAGAGAAGTAACTCACAACTTGCAATTGGTCGAACAAATCATCGATACGTGGAAGTGGATATTTGTTCTTSATCGTTACTTTGTTTAACTCACGGTAATTGATGCACATATGCATTGAACCGTCTTTCTTCTTGATAAATAGTACTGGAGCACCCCAAGGAGAAGTGCTCGGTCGGATAAAACCTTTATCGAGAAGTTCTTGCAGTTGATTCTTCATTTCTTTCATTTCAGCCGAAGCCGATATGGCATCCTAGCAATCGACGTTGCACCAGGAATTAAGTCAATTCGAAATTCAACTTGTCTATCAGGAGGTAAATCGGGTAAGTCCTCGGAAAATACATCCAAAAATTCACACACAACTAGTACGTCACTAACCATTTTCTTTACCTCTTTCGACGCATCAAAAATATAGGCTAAATAGGAAGAACAACCTTTAGATAGGTGTCTTCGAGCTTTAAGCGTAGAAATCAACTTTACGTCCCCTTTACGCTTTTCACCGTAAACATATAAATAGTCGACGTCGTTCGGTATACGAATTATGCGTTGAAAATACAAAATATCAACCGGATTCTTAGTTAACCAATCCATACCAATAATTATATCAAAGCTATGGATATCTATCGGTACAAGATCTACGAAAAACCCATGCTCATCTAATTGCAACACACAATCTTTGTAAACTTTATCAGCTAGCATAGATGTGCCATCAGCAGTGTCAACGTAAAAAGGTTTAGCAAGCACATATGGCACAAAGTTTAAGCATCGAACAAACGTATGAGAAATGAATGAATTAGTAGCACCAGAATCAAATCAGATACAAGCGAGATGAGAATTAACGAGAAATATATCCATAACCACATCCGGCTTATCTCGAGCTTCCTCAGCAGTGATTTGAAAAGCTCTGGCCTGGACGTGCGGTACCTCCTCCTTTAGACGAAGAGCACCACTAGTATAAGGTTGGCAAACAGAAGCCTTACTTTCCTCAGGTTTAGATCGGGGGCATTCTCTCTTACGATGGCCTATAGCACCACATGAGTAGCATGTCATATCCCTCATCGGGAAGTTCGGTCTCACGTGTCCAACTTCACCACAACCATGACATCTAACTTCAGGGCGAACAGTGTTGCATCAGCCTCGATGAGCCTTACCGCAAATAGAACAGGGTGGAGGAGCATTTGATTGTAGGCTATATGCTTGGGACCAAGATTGAGGTCACGATCAAGCTTGGGATTGAGTGTATCTCGAATTGAAATTCCTACAAAATTGTTGTGTTGGTGCAGATATGGCACCTTCAATTCGAGGTCGCTTGGCTGGTAGAGCTGGATTTCGATCCGAGCGGGTCAAATCGTGTTTGCACCGTCGTGCAGATTCCACCGCTTTCTCAAACTCTAAAATGTCATGATTGGCAACTACATCTCGAATTTCTGATCACAATCCGTCTATAAATTGGTCTACACGTTCATGTTCTGTAGTCAAGAAACGTGTGGCAAACTGTGCTTTATGATTGAACTCGATCCCGTAGTCCACCACTGACATCTTTCCTTGATTAAGATCAAGAAACACCTTCTCCAATCGTTCTTGTAGATCAATTAGACAATATTGCTTGTTAAAACGAGTTTTGAAAGACTCCCAAGGCATACCTTCTTTTTCAGTTTCACCTAAGGCTGCAAAAGTAGCATTCCACCATATCAAGGCCCTACTTTTGAACATGGTCGTGAGATAATTCACTTTATCATCACATAGCACTCGGCTGATGCGAAAGACCTTCTCAGTATTCAATATCCATTCACGTGCCTCCAATGGATCAACCTTCCCAAAGAACTCAGTAGCACCGCTACCACGAAAGGTTTTAAAAGGGACTCGATCGGTTTTGGGTTTTGAGGTGTCACCCGTTTCTTTCTCCTTACCTTTACTTTTATCATCTTAAGACTTTTTATCATCATGTCGTTGTTGGGCTAATGTTTGTTGAATTAATAAAGTCAGACATTGCATCAAACGTTCGCTTCGAGGAGACATCGGTGCCTCATCATCATAAATCTCCAGGTGTGGAGCATTTTCTCCTATATTGTCGTTACATGGGGTGTGACTAGCTTCATCACCGTTAGCCATCTTTCTGAAAGTTAGAACGTATACATAACATTAAATAGAATCCTATAACAAATTCCCAATTCCCACCTAGGTTTCTCCTAAGTTCATATCCCGTTTAAATCAAAACATACTTACTACATGATACCGACACAAGGTTTAAGTCTGGATACCGTCGCTGGTATCCAGTTCACTTAAACCACCGCTCTGATACCAAATTGAAAGACCTAGATTTCAATTTTTGATACCAGGTTTGTAATACCTCATTTCTATAAATGATAAACAAACCACCAAAAGTTACATTTTTAAACCATTAGAAAGCAAACGGGATATAATATTTACGAGTTTCTAATTTGAAATGTCCGCTTAGTTTACAGGACGTTTCCGTAAGCACCTGTTTTCCAAAATATCCTAAAACGGACAAAATAAACTTAATAGATTTGCAGAAGCTTAAACTATATACAAGACGGAGGACGTTAACTACCCGTTATCTAGATACATGTAGTTACAACCAAAAGACAACTAATAAGTTACAATCCATAGTTGTATTCGACTAACTATATAATACCAAAAGAGTCGTGTTACTGGAAGCACCAAAAGCAAAGATCTCAATCTACTTGAGCTTGTTCTTTGCCTTATCTACACGGCCTGTAAAAATGTGAACAACGAAAAGGGTAAATACATAATGCTTAGTGAATAAACGGGAACTACTAACTACTATAGATTCACTAATGTAATCCATGGAAGTCAATGATCACGAAGGATGTAAATCATGTAATAAGTAATCATCATTCGAGAATCATACATCTGAATATCAAAGTATGCAACAAATAGATCGTGTGAAAGTCAATAATTGATATGTACTGCCACCGAGCTATCCCAGTCATGGCAAGCACAACAATATATATCATAAATTTCATACCACCCGAGCTATCCTGGCCAGTGAAATGATCTTCCCACCCGAGCTATCCCGGACAGCGGGGAAAATGACAGGACTCTAACACGGTCAAATACGCACCATATCCAAGTAATCTCAGCTGATATGGGCTTAAGCGTGCCTCCCCGGGTGAAACACAAAGTAACTACCGAGTAGCACGTATGGAAGGACGGAGTGCAATAGCCAATAATCTCTTGAAATTGATAAGGAGACATAAAATGGATGAGTGTGGAAGCAAGTAGCAAATAGATAACACATCTTTAGCAAATAACAAGTTAAGTAGCCCCAAAAACTCACAGTGCTTTTCGATATTAAAAAATCGAGCCAAATTAGACTCTACGTCCATATATGTCTAAACATTGTCCAACGATCACTCTGGAAGGACCAAGTGAGCTTATTAAACACTTGTAATATGTATCCAAAGTTTCATAAAGATCCGACAACAATAACTTAACCAAACTTAATTTAAACTTATTTTAGTTACTATAATTCACAGCTCAAAATCAATTTTTTTTCAGTTTTTAGACGCAATTATAGCCAACCTAGAAGCCTTATTTCTATAAAGTGTCTAAAGGACAGGATTAGAACTACATATAAGCTTTCTAAAATGCCCAAAATTGTAGCAATCCAAGCTACGGTTAAGAAGTTATCGCACATACAAAACAGCATCTCGGATAGATTCGGTGCTGTCAAATTCACCAACTAAATAGGCTAAAATCCATATTTTGGATTCAATCTGTTATACCCTAACTCAAATTACAAACAGAAAACGTACCTCCAGCTATTGAATCATAAACGAGAACAAATGGAAACCGGAACTCGATAGACAGTCGGCAATTAAGAATGAACAACACTAAAATTGTCGGCCAATCTATTGCGAAATGGAAATCGTATACAACTCCCAGACTTTCGAGAGGTCTGGGATTCTTTCCTCAAAGCTTTCTCTTTACACTCTACAACCGAATTTCCCAAAAATAGAATACCTGATGATAACCGAACAGCTACCTATTTAAGCTCGACGCATTTACCAAACTACTCTCAATTAAACGATACAAAACAGTAGCTAAACTACTAACTAATGATTTCTTCTTCTATAAGTGAACCTCAACGGGGGGTTACCAATACTCCCCCCCCAAAAATTTCACCTTGTCCTCAATGTGACAATTAGGAAATTGTTGAAGAAGTGCCTCGAAATTCTCCCAAGAAGCTTCAAAATCCGACATTCCTTCCCATTTTACCAAAACCTCAACTTGACCCACATCACCATTTGGTATTTGTCTTACATCCAAAATGTCTTCCGGAACAGCTTGTAACACCAATTCGTCCGAAATCTGAGTTGAAAAATCTTGAGTCGAAATACAACTTCCTACGGCCTTCTTTAATTGAGACACGTGAAAACCGGATGAATCTTCACTGAACTCGGTAGATCCAAACGATACGCCACACTCCCAATCTTTTCCAGCATTTTATACGGACCATAAAAACGAGACAGAAGTTTAAGACTATTCCCCATTACCGGCAATTTCTGTATATAAGGACGCAACTTCAGGAAAACCCAATCTCGTACCACAAACTCTACTTCTTTTCGCTTCAAATCAGCATACTGTTTCATACGAAATTGAGCTTTCAGCAAGTGCAATTTCACTTCATCAAGCATTTCTTCTCTATCAGTCAACTCTTGGTCTACCGATTGTACCCTCGATGAGTTTGCTTTATAATGGAGTAAAGGAGGAGGATCTCTTCCATAGAACACCTTAAAAGGAGACACTTTAAGGGCCGTATGAAAAGAGGTATTATATGAAAGTTCAACCCATGGGAGCCATTTGCACCATTGTTTAGGTGTAGATGACACCCAACATCTCAAGTATTGCTCCAAGCAATGATTCACTACCTCGGTCTGACCGTCTGACTGCGGATGGTACGTCGAACTGAACTTCAACTTCGTTCCTTGCAAACGGAACAACTCCTTCCAAAATCGACTAAGGAACACCTTGTCTCGATCCGAAATCACCGACCGAGGAACCCCGTGCAATCTTACTATATTTTTTATGAATGCTTCGGCCACCGTTTGAACATTAAAAGGGTGTTTTAACCTAACAAAGTGATCGTATTTGCTGAGCCTGTCTACCACTACCATGATCGAACTCATACCGTTTGATCGGATAAAAATCTCATCCCAAACTTTATCTGGTAAAGATAAAGGTTGCAAAAGGCGAGCCGGACTGCCGCTCAGATTTTTATTCCTCTGACACACCTCACAATTTTTAACCATTTCCACTATGTCTTTCTTCATTCCCACCCAAAAAACCTCCGATCCAATACGTTGATACGTCCGATATTCTCCCCTAGGACCGCCAATTGGTGATCCATGAAATTCCTCAAAATTTATCGGCATCATTTTGGACAGACGAGGAATAACCAGACGGCCTTTATACAATAACAACTCTTGTTGAATCTCGAATCCCTTGTGCTAGGCCTTCCCCAAACTTAAGTCGTCTTTGATACGGTTCAGAAAACTATCGCCAACAATTTCTTGTTTCAAGTCGTCCCAATTTCTCCACGTAAAATTCACCATATTGGCCAATTCCACCGAATCGATTTTACGAGAAAACGCATCCGCAGCTTGATTGGAACTCCCCGACTTGTAGACAATTGAAAAATCATATCCCAGTAATTTACTAGCCCATTTCTGGTATTCCGGTTCCACCACTCGTTGCTCTAATAAAAAACGAAGGCTTTTTTGATCTGTACGAACTACAAACTTCTTTTCCAACAAATACGGTCTCCACTTTTTTATAGCCAACACAATGGCCATTAACTCTTTCTCATAAACCGACTTCTGTTTCGCCCTTAGCCCTAGAGCTTGACTAAAGTATGCGATCGGTTGTTCATCTTGCATAAGAACCGCTCCTAGACCATATTCCGATGCATCTGTCTCCACTACGAAATCTTTAGAAAAGTCGGGAAGGCGTAACACCGGAGTTGAAGATAACATTTTCTTCAATTCATCAAACGCCAGTTGAGCTTCCGGAGTCCACTGAAATTGATTCTTTTTTAGGAGGTCGATGAGAGGTTTGGCTCGAATATCGTACCCTTTTATGAATTTTCTATAATACCCGTACAGCCCTAAAAATCCTCTTAATTTCGTCACCGATTTCGGTTCCACCCAATCCAAAACCGCAGCAATTTTCGGTGGGTCAACTTCGACTCCTTTTGCTGAAATTATATGACCCAAATACCCCAAACGATCTCGACCGAACTCACATTTCTTTTTATTCGCAAACAACTGATGTTGGCAAAGAACCTCCAACACTTTCCGTAGATGCACCTGATCTTCTATAATCGTTTTACTGTAGACCAGAATATCATAAAAAAAACCAATACAAACTTCCGTAGATACTTCTTGAAAACTTCATTCATTAATCCTTGAAATGTTGCCGGTGCATTAACCAATCCAAAGGGTATTACTAAGAACTCGTAATGTCCATTATGGGTTCAAAATGTTGTCTTATAAACGTCCTCCTCTTTCATTCGAATCTGATGGTAACCCGATTTTAGATCGAGTTTAGAGAATACGGTTGCCCCATGCAATTCATCCAAAAGTTCTTCAATAACCGGAATCGAAAACTTATCAACAATAGTTACCTTGTTTAATGCGCGATAATCGATACAAAACCGCCAACTTCCATCTTTTTTTTAACCAACAATACCGGACTAGAGAAAGGACTCATACTCGGCTGAATAACTCCTGCCTCGAGCATCTCCTTCACCAATTTTTCAATTTCGTCTTTCTGATAATGAGGGTAACTATACGGTCGAACATTAATCGTTTCAGTCCCTTCCTTTAACACGATACCATGCTCCCTACCTCTTTCCGGTGGTAACCCCCGCGGCATGTTAAAAACTGATTCAAATTCTCTTAGTAGTGGTTCCAAAACAATATTTGATTATGCCATATTTTCCGAAAACACCGAACAAGTACCCAATTCCACCAAAATGCCCTGTCCTTCATGATTGATCACTTTTCCGATCGCCTTTAATGACACCATCAAACGTCCCAGAGACGGATCCCCTTTTAACATAACCGATTTTCCTCCACAAGAGAACTTCATCACTTGTAATTTCTAGTTAACATAAGTCGCTCCCAAAGACTCCAACCATTGCATCCCTAAGATCACGTCGCTATTACCCAAACCCAAAGGCAGAAAATCTTCTCTTATCTCAACTTCAGGTAAAAACAACATTATTCCCTTGCAAATACCACTTCCTTTTTCCATGTTTCCGGAACCCAAAGTAATAGTATATTCACCAGTAGCTTCTATTTTTAAATTCAGTCTTTTCACCAAATCATATGATATGAAATTATGTATGGCCCCACTATCAATTAACACTACCACCTTTTGTCCTTCGATCTTTCCTTCCAACTTCATAGTTTTAGGATTAGTCAACCCACAACTGAATTTAAATGTACCTCTACTTTTTCAGCAATTTCAGCTGCATTGCAAGCTCTTTTCTCCGTTTCTGGTTCTGTATCCTCAAACACATCATCTTGGACTAGCAACACACTCATCTCCTTCTTCTTACACTTATGGCCAGGGGCATATTTTTCATTACACCGATAACATAAACCCAACGATCTTCTTTGTTGTACATCTTGATCAGACAGACGTCAAAAATCGGTATTTGTTTTACTTGCAATTGTCGGGGAATTAACAGAATTGGCGACACTATTATACCCATGACTAGAAAAATTGGTTTTCGACTCTTGATTAGAATAGAAAGATGAACCTGTTTTCTTGCCGTATCCCGCATTCTTCTCTCTCGATAACACTTTGTTTTTCAATTCAATCTTCATGGCTATCTCCATTGCTTCGCTAAGTGTTAACGGATCCAAGAGTCTCAGTTCTACTTTAATAGATTCTTCCAGTCCATTAATGAATTGACTTAAAAAAACCTGTTCTGGAATCCCATCCAATGGCGCTGCAAACTCGACAAACTTCCTTCTATAATCTTCGACTGATCCTTCTTGTCTCACCGACAGAAATTGTTCACACAAAGAACCTGCTGACAATGATCTGAATTGCCTCAACAATAGATGTTTTAGATCCTCCCACCTGGTAATAGGGTGCCTCTTGTGTTCCCATTGAAACCACTTCAGTGCATCCCCTTCAAATGAAATAAAAGACACATCAATCTTCTCTTTCTGGCTCAATTGATTCAGCATGAAATACCGTTCAGCTCTCAAAATCCAAGCATTTAGGTCTTTGCCATAAAAAATCAGGATCTCCAGTTTACACCCTTTCACTGCCAGAAATCGATTTTGACCCCCTCGATTACGTTCCATGCGCTCTAACCGTGTCGTCATCTCATCATCGGAAGAATTAATAGCATTCGTTCGATTCACAAATTTGTTCTTCAGATCTTCGATTTGCTGTACAATACGCTCCAGACTCCTCTCAATTGATCCAACGCTACTTTCCAAATCTTCAATTTGATTATTGGTGCTTCGCGTCATGATGTTCGCCATCTTCAATCGAAACATGCTCTGATAGCAATTTGTTATACCCTAACTCAAATTAAAAACAGAAAACGTACCTCCAACTATTGAATCGTAAACGAGAACAAATGGAAACAGGAACTCGATAGACAGTCGGCAATTAAGAATGAACAACACTGAAATTGTCGGCCAATCTATTGCAAAATGGAAATCGTATACAACTCCCAGACTTTCGAGAGGTCTGGGATTCTCTCCTCAAAGCTTTTGCTTTACACTCTACAACCGAATTTCTCAAAAACAGAATACCCGACGATAACCGAACAGCTACCTATTTAAGCTCGACGCATTTACCAAACTACCCTCAATTAAACGATACAAAACAGTAGCTAAACTACTAACTAATGATTTCTTCTTCTATAAGTGAACCTCAACGGGGGTTTACCACAATCTTTATTCCAACAATCAAAATACTATCTAACCATGTTTATATTATTATATACAAGATCAATACTCAAGAATTTCACCAAAATAGCCATTAATGAAGAAAATCGAAGTTCAACCTATGTTCTTCATTTTAATCATCAATCAAGCATCATAACAACTTAGTTAGGCTATAATAAATCTAAATACAACATATTACTAATATAAATCAGATTAGGTTTCATTGATTTCATCTCTAACTAGCTTCAAATCATGAAATTAACCAATGAAATAGTTATACCTTAATTGGTGGATGAATTTGGCATAAAACTCAAACAAAAACCCCTTAAAATAACCTTGATTCACCCCTATGAAGTCAAAATCGCCCCTGGTAGTAAGTATGAGAGATGAGACTGTTGTGGGTGAAAAAAAAAGGTAAATATCATGTATATTCGACTTTTATGAGTTAGGGCTGAGTTGACTCGGTTGAAAACTCGGTTTGACCACTAATCATTAAAAATTGCATAACTTTTCGCTCGGACCTCCGTTTTTGACGTGGTTTTCGCTCACGCATTCGTAAAGAGATAATCTACAACTTACAATAGAAATATTTCAGAAAATATCTTCCAATAAAAGTATGTTTTTATTTATCCGTAACGTAGATATTGATGCTTTTGACCCGTTTCTTTCCAATTGTTTTACCCCGGGCCTCGTACGATGGTTCCGACTATTTCATATATAGTTTATTGCATTCGGGTTTGCTTCCAAATATTACCTTTTGATCACATAAACACATATAAAGGAGATAATTGCAACGTATTTGCGAAAGTCTATGTTACATGTAGGTAGGGAATATTCTGACTCTGAAACTTTGACGATTTATGTTTGCCTGAGTCTTAGGATACTTATTCCATGTGTCTCAAGATGTCCAATGACATGTCCTCTCTCACTCTCAACACTCTTTATGGGATACTACTTAATCATGAGCAGTCTCGTCAGCTGAAAAGAAATCTAATTAAAGATTCCAGGAAAATGAAGAGCTCTCCTTTAGCTCTAATCTCTGAAGATGCTTCAGCTGAAATCCCATCTTCTTCTTCTTCTCTTCCTCCTGTTATCATCACTGAGTTAGATTCTACTAACTCTGAGGATTTTTCAGAATCTGATCTCCCAGATTTTGATGAATCAGTGGAGTTATTAACTAAAATTTTTAGGAGATTCGCCAATAAAAGTAACTTCCGCATATCTCCTTCGCTGACCATAAAGGAAAAGCCAAAGTCTGATAAGATAGACAAGGCTTCAGCGATCTGCTACAACTGTCACCGCAAAGGTTACTTTGTTGGTGAATGCAGGTCTAAGAAGGCTGTGACGCCATCTTCAAAAACCCCATCCTCCTTCAGATCTAAGGATGATAAATACCTAACGCTGAAGGAGAAGTATAAGAAGATGAAGAACTTCCAGCGAAAGGCTAAGGGTCTTGT